TCATACTCTGGGTCTTTGATTTAAAGGCAGCGGTGCCTGAACCGTGATCCAAAGCTCACTGGAGTCTGGGAGAGTCTCCCATGGATATTCCTGGGCTTTGGATCAGCTGAACAGAGGACGACAGGCAGGAGCCACAGCTGGTCCCACCTCACAGGAGCCTGGTGGGCACTGACAGAACTGAAGTTCAGGGTTTCCAGGTCTCTGTGTATTGTCAATGACAGAAGGACGTTGTCGATTGTTCACTGAAACACTGAGGAACATCTGGGTTGATACACAAGAGCCTCTAAATAATCACAAGTCCTATTTTGTTAATAAGCCAGCACCATTGATGTGTATAATAAGCCTCCAAAGATTGTTTTACACCCTGTCAAGTGTTTTCACTGATGCAGGAATGACTGTAGCTAATGAAGGAATGACTGTAGCTAATGAAGGAATGACTGTAGCTAATGAAGGAATGACTGTAGCTAATTCACTTACAACAACCGAGTGAGAGAATTTTGAATTAAAACCAAGAGCAAACAGAATTGTGGGATTCGGAGATTTGCTAACTGTGCAATTTATTCATGTGCAAAGCTGTTGTGGGAAAAATAATTCTCCAAGTGTGCTTTGATGGAATGATTTGTTGTTCCCAAATGCTTGCCGAAAGAACATTGAATGTTTTCCTGTGTTTGAATGTACAGTTTCTAAGCTGGATACATTTTAATGTTGAAAAACTTTGTGTATCTCAAGCTCGTTGTAAAATACTCCTTTTGTTGCTATGTTACTGATGCAACGTTGGATGGTTTAATTCCACACTAGATATTTTATGTTAAACAAATAAATAGTTTTTTCAGTAAGAAATGCTTTTGGCTGTTCTGTGGGACTTTTACAAAGAATAACTTTACCATTTTTTTCTCTTGATGTTCAGAAATTTGAGAGCTGTGTGTCCCTGTGGGTGTGCAGGGGCTCGGCACTTTGCAGGTCTGACTCCTGTTGTGTGTTTAGTGCATTTAGACACAAAGAGGAGTCACAGGATTCACGTTGACATCACAAGTAACCTCAGGGAGAAGCAGAGCTAAATATTTTTTAAATTATCTGAAGATCTTTGGTTGCTCTTTGCGTTTAACTCAGTTTGGACAATAAGAACCAGTCAGTTTTGCTTCTTGGCTGTGGGTCGTTTCTAGCAGCACCTTCAGTGCTGCAGGATGAGCCCGTGGGTCACCCCGGCGTGGAGGGAGGAGGTGGCTCAGCCCGTGTCCAGGCTTCGGGGCAGGGAGGGACCCTTCTGTTTATTTACTTTTTAATGGAAACTTCTCTTTTCTTGATCTTGTGTTTATGAAATACAATGAAGTGCATAACCCAGACTGTACTCCTCTACCCTTCAAATGATTTTCTTATGTTGATGTCCAGTAATTCACAAACATGAGGTTGTTCGTGTCTGAGTCAGAATCACTAAGGATCTGCAGATCTGTTGGATGCTCACGCGCCGTGTTCTCATCTCCACATGCACTGATCTGCCCTCTCACAGCTGCTGCAGCCGCTGATGCTCCACTGGGATGAAGAGTCTCATTTCTGGGGCTGGGAACAGTTGGTGACTACGGAGGGGTTCGTAGTGCAGGAGCAATACTGGGGGAGGATGTTAATTCTTCTGTGTTTTCTGTGAACTTTTTGGCATCCTCAGACATTTCTAAAGCTCATTCTGTTTTCCAAAATGCCAGAGCCGCTGTTTGCTTACAGAGGATAACTTTCCTGATACTTGATGTCTTTCCAGCTTTGTTCTGTGTCACAGGCAGTTGTTGTTGGGAACTGTGAGTTCATAAAATGTGCTGATGCCGGCCGCTGGAGACGGCGTTTTGTGCTTGGCAAGACAATCGGTGCAGTAGCTGTCCAGCCACCCTGCTGCCGCTCTCTTCCCTGGCCCTTGCCCCAGGAGGGAACCTCAGGGACTCTCCTGTCCCACCGTGTTTCATCTGTGGCTGCCAATGGTGTAAAACACCTTTCCTCTTGCTCTGGTCTCAAAACGGAGTAATCAATCAGCTGAGCTGCACGAGTGTCCCAAACATTTCCCCACAGGAATGTGAGTTCTCAATGGGCCAGGGGCTACTGGCAACGACACGGAATTCCACGCGATGGTATTTCAGGTTCATTCATCTACTCGGAGTCTGAGATGTCGGCTCTTCCTCCTGCAGCATGAAGTGCTCAGGAGAAATATGTGGGGAGACATGGCACGATGATTTCCTGGGATGTTCCTGTGGAATGAGCATGTGAGGCCCTATCTGTGCCATCGTTCAGAAGAGAAAGCACCATGCACAGGATATTTGGATATTATCTTTATTGGGCACACGTGTTAAATTGTGGCCTTTGAGAAAAGAAGCAAAATTAGACTGCGAATAAAATCACACCTGGAATCATTTCTGTTTGCTCAGAGGCCACCTCGGATCACAGGGCAGCTGCTCCTCTGGGCTCTAAGATCAGAAGAATCAGCTGCTTACGGCAAGCCAGGCAGTGATTTGCTGCACCCCTGTTAATCCAGCGCGGCTCCTCTGCAGTCAGATAAGTGGGTTTAGATTTCCAGCAGCGCCAACGGGAGGGGAGTGTGAGCTCCTCCATGTCTCATATTTGGAATTAGTGAAATCGAGTGGATGCTGCTTCACTGAGTGGTTTTACCGGAGCGATATCACAGACCATTAGGTTCAGCATTAATCAATGGTAATTTTTCTTCATTAATCAATGGTAATTTTTCTCCAGCTATTGTTTTATTTTATTTTTTTTCCTATTCTTTTCTTGATTCAACCCCTTTGAACGTGGCTGCAATATATCAGGTGAGCTGCCAGGTCAAGTGGGAAACCCTTTTGAGAGACAGACTGGACATGACAGGGGCTCCTAATTTCCCTACGTCTACCTTTGGTTTTTAAGCAGATTGCAGAGGTGTCTGAGCTTCCAGCCAACAGCAGGATCCTGAACACACCCCCACACTCCGCTGCCACCTGAGGACAGACACTGGGCTGCTGTAACCCCACCTCAACTCCACAGCTCCCAACAGAGCTTCCTGTCACCTCTGCGGCGCTGGCAGCTGGACAGGGCCAGCCAAAGGGACTCTGTTCTGCAGTCAAGTGACAACCAGAAAGCACAAAGGACCATGGATGTCCGAAGAGGTTTTATACTTTGGAAGGGTGTGAGGAGCACCTGTGCTGGGCCAAAATCACAGCCAGAGGAACGGCAGCGCCTGCTCTCTCCGGTGCCTTCGACAGAAAGTTGCTGCCTTGGACTCAAGTGCCACAGGCATGAGAATTCCCAGGCAACATCGCTCTGCCAGCACTGCAGGTGTCACAGCAGAGGCAAACACAACCCTCCGCACCTTCACAAGAGGAAGAGAGGAAGGGAAGGGGACAGGGCAGCAGCTGCTGAGAGATTCTGTCCCTCACGGTGACAGTAACCATCGCTGCTGCTGTCAGAGGGCAGACAATTAGCAGATGCGCTCAGCAAAGCTCGTCAGAGCTCTCTGACTGCTCAGGGTGTGGACGCTGGAGAAGTACACAATGGTCATACCACGTTCAGTGGAGAATCAGGTCATGGTAACCTCCACAGAACTGCTGAAAATGAGACCAGTCTCCTATGGGGCAGCACATCTCCTGGGCACAGACCATCTCCGGCAGCACTGGCTGCTCATCGCTTCCTACAAAACCTTCACGAGTTTCTCTTTTCTGTGGTGAAACCAAAGAAGCATGAAAGGAGATGGGTCCTTCAACAGGGAGCAACTCTGGTGCCAGGCTGTGGCCAGGAAACCTGCACTTTTCCTGGGACTGTGTTAAATCCAAGTGCCCTGGAGGGAAAACGAGCCGGGCTGCCCTGCAGCGTCCCTCAGTCAGCAGCTGCAGCCGCCTGGTACGGCACAAATCAGGCTGATGAGCTATTTCTGGCACATGGAGTCAGAGGGAGAGAGAAGCTGCATCACGGATGAGTAAGAACCAGTTGGCTTATCTGCGGAGGAGAGCGAGCCAGGCGCTGTGTGCCAGGCTGGGGACAACTGCCAGCCTTTGGATTTGAGGCTAATGCTTCTTCACCAGTCGGTACCTTGTCTGTGATGGGTTTTTAGTGCAGGAAAGACACGTGGCATGGAAAAATCAACCAAACTGTATCTTCAAGAACAGTGTATTTGGTGAACACCCCTGAAAAGTGATGCCCTCCAGGAGCTGTCCCCACTCCTCTGAGAAGCACAACCTGCTCCCAGTCAGCTCCTTTCCCAGAGCTGCTGCTCCAGCCCTGTCTCATGGATGGAGGAAATGAGAAGCTGAAGGGCCCGTGGGAGTTTTAGGGACGAGAACAGCTAGTTTGTGTATGCTCTCTGCTATATATAGAGCCTGGCAAACACACAGGGCTGGAACATGTTCCTTTTGTTGCTAAAAGCATCATTTGGAAAGCCCATTTTAGGCAACTGCTGCTGTCTATGGCCAGATACACTAACCAGGTGCTGTAAACCCGTGTTTTGTCCTGGCATGAGCGTAAGGAAAGCTGTTGAAACCGAAGCACGTGCTTTTAGAGCTGTTGTTACTTCCCTGGGAGCTTCAGAGCTGCTTCTTCCTACTAAGGAGCTTTTGCCTCCTGGGGGAAGCTTGCAAATCTAATTACATGCTGCGTGTCGGAGCAGTCAGTGCAGACCTCAGGTGGCACCGGCTCTGTTTCAGATCCTGTCCCATCGTGCAGATGAACTGCAGGGCTGTCAAGATTTCAGCTGAACCCTGCCTGCCCTTTGCAGACTGATCCCCAGGACAGAAGTGCATTTTGTCAGCCATAATTAGTCCATATTTTAAAAGCACTTCCTTGAGATGGGTTGTGCAAGGACGAGCCGTCTGGCAAATGGCAGCAACAGAACTGGCAGCAACCTGAAGATGAGACACTGTGACCGGTGGTGGGGCTGGCGGGAGGGTTGCACAGCCCACGTGCATCCCTGTGGTGTTTGTATCTTTCTGCTGTGATTTCTGAGCTGGTGCTGTCACGATAATCCTGGGTGAGCAGGTAACTCACAGGCGGGGTTGTGGGGGGCTGAGCAGCTTCTTCTCCTGGAGGATGGTCCCAAAGAGCCGGGCTGCAGCCATGGCACAGCCCCAGTGGATGGTGATCCCGAAGCCACCGTGGCCATAGTTGTGTATGACCTGGGGGAGAAGAGAAGGGGTCAGTGCTGGGAAAGCTGCGCTGGAGCCTTCTGGGGCTCGGGGCAGCAAGGAGCCACAACCGTGGCTGGAGGTGTCCTATGTGTCTTTAGATTGACCCTTTGATCCAGGAGCTCTGGGAGCACAGCCCCATGTCCCACTGCTCTTCCCCCCCCTCCAAAAGCTGGAGAAGCAGGGGAAACTCGCATTGTTTTGGCAGAGCCTGGAGCATCCTCTGCACCCGCTGCTCCAGCCACCCCAAAACGCAGCAGAGGGGCTCGCTGCCCTGGTCCTCAGAGCACAAGATGTTACATCCCACCCAGTGCCTGTGCCTGCCAAGGTAAATGACCTCACTTCAGCGGGAGCCCTGACTCATCGCTGGGATCGATAGCTACACCTCGCCCGCGCCAAGGCAGCACAGACCTGATGTGCTGATAAAGGAACAGAGTGATCCATAAATGAATTCAAACCCAGCATTGCTTTGAACTGTGCTCTGGGCTTTGCCTAAATACACCGTTTTCTTTCCAAAACTCCAGCAAAAAAAAAAGAAATTGAATATATTTTCATTACATTTAATTACATTTTGCAGTCGCCATCCCCCTCTGGGGCTTTAAACTCTTCTTCCAAGCTGTACAGAGACACACGAATCAAATCAAGGATTCCCTCTGCTGATGAGCGTTCAGGCAGCAGAGCTAAGGAGTGGTGTGGTCCTACACAAAAAGGTGCTGTGCTGAGGGTCCCAGAGCAGATGGCACACTGGAACTCATGCCAGCCCGGTCTTAAAAGATGTTTTAGCAATGCAAGGCAATTTAGAGCCATTGCCCTGGGGAAGTTTTACACTAGACACTCAGCTTTACCTACATGGAGGCAGCTGGATTTTTCCAAGCCCCATGGCGGGTACAGCCCCACCAGTGTCCCTCTGTGCCTTCACCTTGTTTCATTTCATGCTGCTGCTGAGCTTCAAACTGGATTAAATCTCAAGAAGTCCAATTTTTTGCACCAACAACCTGGTGTCAGTGCTGGAGGCCCTGAGCAGTTTCATTAAAAACAACATATCAGGGTTTATTAAAAGAAGACACGAAGTTCACCTGCACAAGTGCTCCCAGCAGGAAACCACGCTGCTTTAAATGCTGACACCGAGACACCGTTGGCGTGGGCCTCGTGTGGCTCTGGGAACAGCAGAGCCCGTGCCACAGTTTTTCTCCCATGTGGGGGTTTTTGGTGTTTATTAAGGACTAAGCTCCAGCTGCAGGTTTTCCTTTGGCAGGAGCACTCCCTGCCCACTCTCCCCATAAAATCCATCAAAGCTGAGGATCTGTGACACTTATCTCTGGCACTGGGCTGACTCTGCCTCAAGGATTCACCCATTATCAGAGGGGAGGCAGAGCGAGGACCGATGGACACGGGGCATGACGTGCACCAGCGTTAGCTGGATGTTGGTGCTGCCCTGCCAAGGTGGCGGTGACCACTGCACAATTAGCACGGTGGTTAATGGCACTCGGCATCGGGGGGCTGCACACGGTACCTCTGCCTGGAAGTGCCCGTGGTGGACGGTCTCCCGCTCCAAGCGAACACAGGGACGCGCGGGTCTCAAGCCGCTCCACTCCTCTACGATCTTTGCTTCCTAAAAACAAGAGCACGTCAGCACCTGCACAGCATCGCTCTGAATCATCACAGCCAAACCTCACCCCAAGGAACGCAGTGGGAATCCACGAGACCAGGGCTCTTAGAATCACAGCATCACAGAATGGTTTGGGTTGAAGGGACCTTCAAAACTCATCCAGTCCAATCCCCTGCAGTGAGCAGGGACATCTTCCACTCAACTGGGTTGCTTGGAGCCCATCCAACCTGACCTTGAATGTTTCCAGGGTTGGGGCATCCACCACCCCTCTAATTCCAGTGTTTCACCACCCTCAGTGTAAAACATTCAACTGGGTTGCTTGGAGCCCATCCAACCTGACCTTGAATGTTTCCAGGGTTGGGGCATCCACCACCCCTCTAAATTCCAGTGTTTCACCACCCTCAGTGTAAAACATTTCTTTTTTATACCTAGTATTATTATATGCCTCCAGAGATATTCAGAGATATATTTCACTTGGGACTTCTAGGAAACAGTTTTTCACTGACACTGTTAGTACCTCAGTAATACTCTGCACGTAATTAAACTCTCTTTCCCCAATTGTCGTATGCAAAGTTGTTAAGAGAAGACACAACAAAGAAATGTAAAGGAAACCAAACAGCAGCAGGCAAAATGCAACGCTGTGATTCCTTCTGGGTTTTTTTCCCCTTCACAGAGATAGGGGAAAAATTGTGTTCAGAGCTGGTTTAGTGCATGTCCAGCCTCACTATCTTCAGATTAGTGAATTAGCTCCTAATAAAAATGGAATTAATTATTTTTATCTCTTGCAATGAGCAGGGTCAGAGTCTCCCCCATCCCGACTGCTGCTCCAGCTCCTGTGACACTTCAAGGGGTGACGGGGCAGAACAATTTCAGATCAGAGCCAGCCCCCGCGCTGCTGCTCCTGCCAACCCGAGCACCCAGGAGTCACCCACCTGGAGAGCAGGGAGCAGCCTGCAGCAGTTCTCCCAGATGGTTTTGTGGTCCTGGGCACTGTTTTCTTCATTCCAGTTCCCATGCTGATAGATCCCTCCCAAGACCGTGAACTCACTCCTGCACCAAGGGCCAAAGGAGATCAGTGGTGGTGAGTGTCCCCAGCCGTCCCTTGCAGGGACTCTGCATGTGTGTGATGTGTGGATCCTGCTGTGTCCTGAGCCTGCAACATATTCCTGATAGAGAAACTCCCACGACAAGCAGGCAAGAGAGCGGTGCCTGCATGTCTGCTCAGGAGCAAGTCACTCATTGCGTCATTCTGTTCAAGGAACAAGGGACAAGACAAGAGGAAATGGCCTCCAGTTGCACCAGGGGAGGTTTAGATAGGATGTGAGGAAGAATTTCTGTTCTGAGGCATTGGAAGGGGTTGCCCAGGGCAGTGGTGGAGTCCCCATCCCTGGAGGGATTGAAGAGTCGTGTAGACATAGTGCTGAGGGACATGGGTTAGTCATAGGGGACTGGTCAGTGTTGGGTTCATGGTTGGACTCCATGATCTCAAAGGGCTTTTCCAATCCAGGTGGTTGTGGGATTCTGTGAGAGCCCAGGACCAGCCCAGACCCCGCCACGTCCCAGTGCCAATCCGGGGTCTGCGCAGGGAACTCGTGCTCTCTGCGCTGACTGTGGGAGCTCCCTCACTTTGCCAGCCCACATTCCCCTGTTTTCCTCCCACGCAGCAAATCAAAGCATCATCAGGCCAGGGATGAACCTGCTGCTGCAGCAGAGCTGCTGCCGGGCAGACGTCAGCCGGGACCCGCGTCCCCGCCGGTGCTTTAGGAGCGCTGATGGCAGCGCATCACCCACGCCAGCCAGACCTGGCCTCGCTGCTGTCACCTACCCTGGGATGACGTACGGAGAGGTGTAGATACCGGATTCGATGTCGTGAGTGATGATGAAATGCTTCACCCATGGGGCCAGGAGCTGGGAGATGAAGGGGAGAGGGTCAGGGAGAGCTGGAGAGCGGGGTCACTGGCACGGGGAGGCAGCAGGAGGGACGTGGGCAGCTCAGCGAGCGTGGCCACCGAGGTCTGTTCATGGTGCCCATCCTTCTGCTCAGGCTCTACCTACACCCCAGTGCTGGCTCCCCTGCGCTGCTGCTGTGGGATGACAGGGAGGTAGGAGGGCAGGGAGGTAAGTGGAGGAGCTTCCTGCCATCAGTCTGTTTCACCAAATAATCAAGGGAATCCTCTCCTACCAAGGATTTTATGTCTTTTATTATGAGCATTATGCCTCTGGCCTCCCCTCATCTTCACCCGACACAGAAACAGGCTGGAAACTCGGGATGTCCCCACAGTTGAGCCAGGAACAGGATCCAGGTTTTTTGCTCTGGGCTCCACACACATGAGGGTTTTACGTGACCAGTGTTTGCTGGGAATCAGGACCGGATCCCAGCGTGGGTCCAGGTCACAAGCTGTGCCCAGAGGGCACAGGATCCCAGCATGGGTCCAGGTCACAAGCTCATGATTTGCCCCAGAGGGCACAAGTAACCTCATGGTTAACAAATGGCTCCTCCAGAAAAAAGAGGGGGACACAAGCCCTGCAACCACCTCACCTTTATGATCTGTCCACGGCCGGGCTGTAGCTCCGGGTCAGGCTGCAGCTCCCCCGCACGCACCCCGGTGCAGTTGATGACAACATCCACGCCCTGGGCAAACATCTGAAGGGAGCCAGACACGGCGTGGTGAGGAGCACACAGAGCCATGGTACCCACGGGGAGCGTGAGATTCCTGCATCAACGCCGGGCCAAGCACTCGGCTCGACCCTCTGGTGATGAATAAACCATAAGGGCTGGGTCCAGGGCAGAGCTTCCCCAGCACAGCTCCTGCTGGGACCCCCTGTGTGCCACCAAGGAGGAGGTTTGCAGTTTAAGATGCTTGGCTGCATCTTCGCTCAGTGCCGGCCAAACGCACTACCCTGTCCCCTCTCAGCCATCTCTTGGTGCCCAAGAGCTTTGATCTTTCCTGGTAGGATTTGATTCCTAGATCTTGGCATAGTCTTGCCGCTGTCCCTGGCCCATCACTCCTGTCAAGGGACATCCCACAGCAGCGTGTGCTTCTCCATGCCGGAACCTCTGCCCCAGCTCAGCATCACCACTCACCTCCTGGAAAGATCCAACCTTCTTATGGAAAAACTTCACTCCTCTCTGTGTTAACCTGGGAAGAAGGAATTAATTTGTTACTGGCAAATTAAAAGCAAATGTTGGAACCGCACCGCACTGCACAGCCCCAGCACCGCAGCAGCTCCACACTCACCTCTTGGTGAGCCATGGCAGATATCTCCTGCACTCCAGCATCAGCGCCGTGTTGAACCAGCCGTAGCTGAAAACAGATGAGGAGAGGAAGGTGGAAGGACCCGCAGCAACTTCACATGATCTGCCTTCTGCCCCGGTGCTCTCGATGGCTGCTGCAGCTCTGCGACCCCAGTTCCCCCTTGCACAACAAGTACATGTTTTTTTCCCTCTGTTTACAGCATAAAACACCTTCTGCTGATTTTCTTCCCCCCAGTTTGACAATATCTGGTGAAGTAAGAGAAGAGCTGGAATGGTTTCCATGCTGGGCTGCTGCTTTTTTGGCTTGTTTGAGGCATTTCTTACTTATTTTAAAGGAAGAGGCTGTAACAAAGCAAGGCCACTTCTGCACCCACAGTTTCTCGTCCTCGCTGCCCCTCGACAGGGACATGTCTGGGACCGTCCAGGTGCTGCCTGGGGGAAAGCACAGCAGTGACTTTCTGAAAAATTGACTTAAAAATACCTGTAACCAGGGAAAAGTTCAAGCTCTTTTGGTGTTAAATTCCTGAATCCCAGGACAATGTTCTTCCAAGGTGGATCCTGCAACAGGAAAAAAAGTTTGAGCTGTTTAACAAACCCAAATCACCATAAAGCCACATCCCACCCCAAAGGGCAGGAGGCTCTGACAGCTCCCACCCTTGTTTCATACCAATATTGTACTGGGGGCACAGAAAACACCGAGTCCCAGGCAAACAGTCACAAGACAAACTTGGAAGGATTTGGAAGCATTCAGAGCATCGTCTGGGAAGAAGCAGAACCCTGCCCACCCCCGGGCAGCCTCTGAGCTGGAGCCCTTCCCAGCCCTGGCTGTGACTTGCTCCTTACTGGCACTGGCTGTGTAAACAGGTTGTAGCCAGAAATGAGGAAGAGTCCCATTTCCTTGGCTGCCGGGGAGCCCAGGTGCCCCAGGAGGTAATCGAAGGTCTCTTGGTTCCAGAGCCTGCGATGGAAACAGGAGCGCGGTGGCTGCGCCAGCCCCACGGAGCTGTGCAGGTGGCTCAGCCCCTCGTGCACACCGGGGGGGACAGGACAGCAGCCCCCTCCTCACTTACGTCTCCTGCAGATTGCCGTGGTCGCTCAGGTAGGGCTGCCACAAGCCGGCTGCCCCGTCACTGGTGGTGTGGGGTGTGTAACGGTCCGCGTAGATCTTCATCTCCAGGGAGGGCACCAGGCTGTGGTACTGCTCGTGGATGCACAGGGCGGTGGAGAGGCCGATCACGCCGGCCCCGATGACAGCCACACGCATGGCTCTGGCT